TTTAATGAGATAGAGCAGCAGTTCTCAACCTTCCTAATGCCGCAACCCCATAATACAGTTCCTCATGTTGTGATGACACCCAACCATACAAATATTTTCATTGCGATTTCATAACTGAATTTTTGCTACTGTTATGAATCATAACGTAAATATTTCATATGCAGGATGTATTTTAATTCACTGGTGCAAATTTGGCACAAATACCCGATAAGCCCAAATTTGAATACTGGTGGGGTTGGTGGGAGGATTAATTTTGTCATTTGGGAGTTGTAGTTGCTGGGATTTATAGTTCACCTACAATCAAAGAGCATTCTGAACTCCACCAACGATAGAATTGAACCAAACTTGGCACACAGAACTCCCATGACCAACAGAAAATACTGAAAGGGTTTGGTGGGCATTGACCTTGAGTTTTGGAGTTGTTGTTCAACTACATCCAGAAAGCACTGTGGAATCACACATTGATGGATCACCACCAAACTTGGCATGAATCCTTAATATGCCCAAATGTGACATTACAGAGTTGTAGTTGCTGGGATGTATAGTTCACCTACAATCAAAGAGCATTCTGAACCTCACCAACAATAGAATTTGGCCAAACTTCCCACACAGAACCCCCATGGCCAACATAAAATACTGTATTTCCTGAAGTTATTTGGAGACCACTCTGACACACCCTTGTGACTCCCCCAGGGGTCCTGACCCCCAGATTGAGAAATTGTGAGATAGACAGAAAGAGAAACAAACAAATGTGGTCATGCATTCCCACTGAATAATTTCATTTCAGAATTATTTCTGGCTCTGAGGTTTCTGGGCCAAAACTTGAGCTATAGGGACAGCTCCTTAAGATTTCAGCCCTTGGCATTTGTCCCATCACACTTTTCCAAGACCTGGCTATTGTTTGGTCTCTTGCTTAGTTGTGTCAAGTCCTACAGCTCTTTTTTTCCTCCAAGGGCAGGAAGGGAGTGCACAAACCCAAAATAACCACTAACCACTTCATGTCCTATTTGCATCTATTTCAGGGAAGCTTTAGGGGCTTGGTGGGGAATGAATGACACATCAATCATTCCCTAATAAATCTCAGTTAACAAATCTCTATTCAGTTCTCATTTATATATGTAAGGACTCTCTGCCTTAGAGAATCCAGCTGGGTGTGCAAAAAAGGAAAAAGCTGCATTTTAAAATTCCAGCTGCAAACCATTGAGCTGGAAACAATGACCTTCAATTTCATCCAACGTTTGGCAAAAAGCAATTTTTCCAAAGACTGGAGAAGCTGATATGAAAAAGCAGCTGTTATGTCTTCAGGCATTAGCTATAGCTAATATGAATGAGTTCTTTTCTCAGGCAGAAGTCTACCGGTATATCATATAGCCATCCAAAGTAATCTCAGAAATCACAAATCAGTAATATATGAGACAAAGGAGAAGAAATCTGGTTTTGAGCTTCACCAAGATGAGCAGCCAGGGAGAATTACTGATAAGACAGGATGCTATAAATCTAATATTAGTACACACACAAAATGAAAGGCCTAATCCCAAGTGCCATTTGGACTTAACACAAGCAGAACCTTGCATAACATGACCATGAATGAAGGAATAACTAAACTAATCTATTTTTGCCATTAAACGAGATAGCTAGCATAGTATTTGGTGATCTTTCTGTGTATACATAGAAAGAACCTTCACAGAAGCATATGAAAGACTTGGTCTCTCACTGAACATTGGGAAAACCAAATGCTCTACCAGCAGGCACCAATCAATCCCACTGCAATGCCAGCAATAAAGCGTGGTTATGGAGACAAGCATTTGATGAGTGAGCCGATACCCTGAGATATGGATGGAGGATGATGAACATCAAATTTGTGGGACGACTGACCATTGTATTTATTGAATGTAATTGCTGTTTTGCTGTTTTAATGTTTTAATGTTATATTGCAATATGAAGTATGATGTTTTATTGACTGTATGTGATATTATGGTTGGAAACCGGTCTGAGTCCCTCAAGAGAGGTGAGAAGGTCGGTATATAAAACTTTTAAATAAATAAATAATAAATAATGGTGCAATGCTAGAAAATGTTGACCATTTCCGCTACCTTGGCAGCAACAATGTCAACTCTCCACAAAAGTTGTCATTAACACCAAAATACCACATTGTCTGAGTCCTGTGAGTACAACATTGTTTTTGAATGAAGCAGAGAGCATTTGAGGATCGAGACATTCGTAGCAATACCAAGATGCTTGTTTATAAAGCTATTGTCCTCCCAAGCTTGTTCTACACCTGCCAAATGTGGACTATCTGCAAACATCACTCTTAACTTCTGGAAGGATCCCATCAGTGTTGCCTTCAAAAAAAAACCCCCTGCAAATCTCCTGGAAAGACAGGCAAACAGATGTCAGTGTTCTGAAAGAAGCAAAAACCAACAACACTGAAGTGATAATGATTTGCTATCAACTTTGTTGGACTGACCACATTGTCCAAATGCCCGATCACTGTCTCCCAAAGCAGTTACTTTATTCTCAAATTAAGAACAGAAAACAGAATGTTGATGGACAACGAAAGAGATTTAAAGATTGGCTTAAAGATAACCCTAAAATGTGGTGTAAACATCAAGAACTGGGAAGCCCTGGCACCTGAACGTTCGAATTGGAGATTTATTTATTTATTTCCCATACTTGCATCCCGCCCTTTTCACCCCGAAGGGAATTCAGGTTGGCCTCACATCCGGCAACAATTCGATGCCCAACAAACAGAACTGCAATCCAGCTTTTGTACTTTTGTACAATCATACTTGGCCACAAATGATAGCCTATGATATGATATGGTAAACTTTATAGACCTTCCAACTGGCAGATTTTGTCAGGAACAGTTCTGATGAATCCTCTGTCTTGCTTGTTCTGCTACTTTTAAAATGTCCTATTGTTTCTCATCTTTCTCCTTTCCCCCTGTTTCTTCAGTTGTTGAACACTTGTACTTAAATTTACATCAATTGAGACAATGGGGGAAAGTGGAAGAAGGAAAAAGAAATGGAAACTTTGAAAAACAGCTGAAAAATTGGAATGACAGAGGGTTAATTGGGATAATCCCTGCCCAGTTTGAAGGTATAGTTCTCTGTTTTGGCCATCATAGCAGTGCAAAAATGTAGTTGTTCTGTTTTGTTCTTTTATTTCTTATGCTTCTCTCCTACCATGGTCAATGCTCAAGATAGTTCATCAGCAGCATTAAAAACAGATTAAAATCAAATTACAGACAGATAAGACAGCAAAACCATTAAAACCATCTAATTAATCAAGCAATTAACATCCCCACAGTAATCAGTAAAGCAACGGAAAAGGTCACTTTGAAAAGAGGTGTCTTGCCACCATTGCTAAAAGAAGCAAAGGTATAAATTAACCTAGAGCTTTCCAAACTGTGCCATGACACATAAATGTGTCATCCGCACTGTGGTGTGTCACATGAACGTAATGAGAAACCTCCGAGTCCTTTAAAAATATAAATGAAAGATTTTCATGAGATAGGTTGTGTCCCCATAGGTAAAGGTTTTCCCCTGACATGTAATCATAGAATAATAGAATCAAAGAGTTGGAAGAGACCTCATGGGCCATTCAGTCCAACCCCCTATCAAGAAGCAGAAATATTGTATTCAAATCACCCCTGACAGATGGCCATCCAGGCTCTGTTTAAAAGCTTCCAAAGAAGGAGCCTCCACCAAACTCCGGGGCAGAGAGTTCCACTGCTGAATGGCTCTCGCAGTCAGGAAGTTTTTCCTCATGTTCAGATGGAATCTCCTCTCTTGTAGTTTGAAGCCATTGTTCCGCGTCCTAGTCTCCAAAGAAGCAGAAAACAAGCTTTCTCTGTCTTCTTTTCTCCAATCTAAACATACCCAGTTTCCTAAACCGTTCCTCATAGGCCTTGGTTTCCAAACCATTGAACACTGATCAAGTAGAATATCTTTTCAGGAGGTATTCTACTTGTCAATATCCTTCTTGATTTATGTGCCCAGAACAGGACTCAGTATCTAAGATGAGGTCTGACCAAACACAAAATGGGGGTCAGAAGGGGGTGTCAGAGAGGTTGCCAAAGACTATCAGAAAACACAGTATTTTCTGTATTGTCAAAGGCTTCCATGGCTGGAATCACTGGGTTGTTGTAGGTTCTAGAACATGGCCATATAGCCCTACAACAACACAGTATTTTCTGTTGGTCATGTGGGTTCTGTGTGGGAATTTTGGTCCAATTCTATCATTGGTGGGATTCAGAATGCTCTTTGATTGTAGGTGAACTATAAATCCCAGCAACTACAACTTCCTAATGTCAAGTCTATTTTTCCCCAAACTCTACCAGTGTTCACATTTGGGCATACTGAGTATTGTGCCAAGTTTGGTCCACATCCATCATTGTTTGAGTCCACAATGCTCTCTGAATACAGGTGAGCTACAACTCCAAAACTGAAGGTCAATGCCCACCAAACCTTTATTTTGGTCATGGGAGTTCTGTGTGCCAAATTTGGTTCAATTCCATCATTGGTGGAGTTCAGAATGCTCTCTCATTGTAGGTTAAATATAAATCACAGCATATACAACTCCCAAATGACAAAGTCAATCCCGCCCTAAGCCCACCAGTATTCAAATTTGGGCATATCGGGTATTTGTGCCAAATTTGGTCCAGTGAATGAAAATACATCCTGCATATCAGATATTTACATCACGATTCAAAATAGTAGCAAAATTACAGTTATGAAGTAGCAACGAAAATAATTTTATGGTTGGGGGTCACCACAACATGAGGAACTGTATTAAGGGGTCGCAGCATTAGGAAGATTGAGAACCACTGTGCTAGTACATATTTTTGTACTTCAGTATTATAGTATAGGTTAGAAAGCTCTGTTTGAGCAGATGATTCACTGAGGCTGAAAATCTTCTCTTAAACTCCAAGTAAAATCTCTCATGCTGTTGCCCTCAACACCCATCTAGTATTGCTATATTAAAAACAAACATAAGAGTTATTTTCGTAAGAAAAAGGCTAGTTTATTGCACTTATCGGAAAGCACAAGGGAAAGGAAACACAAGGGTACAGAAATGAAACTAAGGATGGTAAACATTTCAGGTTGTTAGGTAGGACAATAAGGAAAAAAACACACCCCTCATTGGCTTAGAAGGGTTGTTAACACCAATTCATATTCAGGAACAAAGCAAGGTGCACTACTATTATTTGGAATACAAATGGCTAGCAAGCTAAGCCATTACCACAAACCCTTTAGAAAGTGTTAAGTATATATAAAACTGTATCTTTAATTCCCCACCCACCTACCAAATATTGTAATGTGAATATCTGGCCAGTAAGAGTGGAAAATCAAGCTGCTTCCCATTGCTCTGAAGTTCTTGACTTCGACGTAGGTGTGTTTTGGGTTCCTTTTTACAACTCTGAAGTCTCACTTGCCAAGGAGCTGCTCAAAGTAGTCCACTGAGTGAATTAGGTAAACTTCGGTAGCTGCGTAGTTAGTGACGATCCAGTGACAGACTAAAAAAAGAAACTCTTGAGGCCGGCTCCATATATAGACGAAGAAGAGGTGAAGCAAAACAGATCAGCTCTCAGAGGGAAACAAACATGACCTCCTAGTCGCCCTAAATTTAAAGAGCAAAGCAACAACCGAGGGAGCAAAGCAACAACCGAGGACTAAAATTATGCAAGGACTTTTGCAAAGCAGGTGTGAATGGTGACTCTTCAGTGTCAGAGAGGAACCATGTTTCCTGGTTTATATTGGTTCACTCCACAAATCCATCAGAGATCGTCTTAAGGGAAGAGCATGTTGCTTTGTCTCAGTCTCAAATTCATATATTTCTCCTCATTGCTATCACAATTGGGCTCATCCGCAGATTCATTAGCAGCTGTTTAAAACATTCCCTATTAAACATTAACAAAAATTTTAAGTCTAAGTCACTGGAATAACATTTATTTTAACAGCTTTCTCAAAGAAAAGTAGCCTTCACGAAACATATGCTGCAGTGATTAGTAAATTATAAAGTTCTGCACCCCCACTGTAAACATCTCATATAGAAGACATTGCCAAAATGTAGCTAATGTAGCTAAAGAATTGACCATTAAGGAGAAAAATCCTGACGACTATCACAAACTCGCTTACGGGATACATTTCTTTGTTATCATAACATCTTTGTTGTCATTTTAAATTATGGTACAAAAAGGAAAATGGGAATCTACTCTGGTTACAGGCACAGTTTAATCCATCTCAGAGTGGCGCTAAAGCCCACCCAGAGAGCCACGTTGATTTTACATTTCTAGCTTTACAATGTTTCTTTTAGCCTTGGAACAAAAGCCATTAATAGGCTGGTAGATGCATAAAGGGACCTAATATTTGGAGACGAGTGAATCCAAACTCATCTGTGATGTGTAACATTAGTGGGTTTTTAACCCAATTCACCCAAAGCAAAAGTTTAGTGGTGTTCTGGAACTTTGTGAAAATTTGTGAAAATTCCACAAAAAATATTTTCAGTTGCACTACACATAATTATGTTGATTTTCTACCAGGAAATGTTATCATACATTGTTCCTTTCTGTAACAGCAAATTGAAAGAGGATCTGCATCCACATCATAACCATGCTCTTCTGCTCAAGTGTCTTCAAGAATTATCAAAAACTGGAGGGAAAAAACACTGCACTTAGCTGGAAGTCAATGTAACAGGCAGCCTTTCCACTGTAGTCACAGATACAGTACTTATTTGCATGCTAGAGCAAATAAATCTTGCTGCTAATATGGTTAAATTGGTAAGCTATATTTCCAAACAGAAGTAAAGACAAGTTCACAATTTCTGCCCATCTCATCTGAGAGATAAAGAAAAAAACTGAAGCAAGAAGACACCTTACTACACAATTCAGGGGGCTTATTAGACAAGTCAGGTCTTTTAAAAATATATATTCCAAAGTGCGAATACTGCCAAATGTCTGGGGCTTTATAAGTCTGACATTTGGCATAAAACATGATTCCCAACCGTGTTTTCTCACTATTTTATGGTTTTTATAGCCTTGAGGACCTCATATGACTTCCCATTCATCTTCAAAATCATCAGAGTGAAACGACATAGAAGCGCTGCCATGTTTCTGTAAAGGGCGAGAATGGTGGAAGGTCTTGGTGAGGCGCTGAAGGAGGTTCCCTGAAGGACCAATTGCCCAGAGTTCATCTTGGGGTGTAACTGTGGAATAAAAAGTTACCACACCCAGTTAGTATGACAGCAGAGCACTAAGACAAGGAGCAGAATAAGGCAAGGCTGGGAAATCTGTAGTCATCTAGATCACAGCTTCTTAAACTTTTCCCACTTGTGACCCCTTTCCATCCAACAAAATTTTACTTGACCCTTTTAATTGCTCTAAACAGGCAGGATTACTTTGAATATATATGTGTTATTGTGATAATTTTATGCTTACGTTGTTTTGTTAATTTTATGTTTATGTTGTTTGTATGCCTTGGTGATGTTACTTGGAAACTGCTTTGAATCCCCTCGGGGAGATAGAGCAGTATATAAATAAAGTTTTATTTATTTATTTATTATATATTACCCTTGGAATATAGGTATATACTGCAAAATAGGTATAAAAATCAAACATTCACAGTACTGATAATAAATCAGCATTGACAAGGCTTGCTAAACAGGTTGATTTTCCTTTTTGTGAAGTAAAGCTGAAGCATTTTCTGCAGAGTCCACTGCAAATACTGTATGTTGTTGCTAACAGAGTTGTCTAAATGGGTAGCAGCCAGAAACCTTTCATTGTTACCAACACTGAGCTAAGGGGGCCCCATCTGGGACTGGGACCCACCGTTTACCAAACAGTGGTCTAGATTTTGTTGGGAGTTCAATTCCCATCTAAACCAGCCAGCCTGGTCAATAGTAATTCATAATGGGAATAGGTAAAGGTAAAGGTTTCCCCTGACGTTAAGTCTAGTCATGTCTGACTCTGGGGTGTGGTGCTCATCTCTATTTCTAAGCTGAAGAGCCAGCGTTGTCCATAGACACCTCCAAGGTCATGTGGCCAGCATGACTGCATAGAGCACCGTTACCTTCCTGGAGAAGCGGTACCTATTGATCTACTCACATTTGCATGTTTTTGAACTGCTAGGTTGGCAGAAGCTGGGACTAACAGCAGGAGCTCACTCTGCTGCCCCGTTTCGAACTGCCAACAAGTTCAGCAAGTTCAGCAACTCAGCGGTTTAACCCATTGCGCCACCAGGAGGTGAGAATACAAGCTTATTAACATTTGGGGGGCCACAGAGTCACCACCCCAATCCACTGAGTGAAACACATCCCCTTATACTCCTGTGGCAATAATACTTGGTTTTTTGAGGAACCGGAGAATGAAACCATGCACTCATTTAATATCCTAAGAACCTTTAGAAGAGAAATCTGCAAAGTTTAACATCTGGACACCATGTTTATCTTTCAATCTGAAATCTTGTGAACATAAAAGCCAGGTGGGTTGAAATAGGCAGCATATGTCAATCATTCAAATTATGAGTTAACAAAATTCTGTTACAACCTTTGTAAGGCTACGTAGTGCTTCAAAGAACACACTTACCTGTCAAACAAGTGACATTCCCTGGAATCTTCTTCCAATAGTCTCCCGCCGGGTTCTTATCTGTAATGCCGTACCGCCGTGCAATGTCACCATTTGGGCAGCGTGCCCAAACGGTCCGTATACTTATGGCCAGCTCACAGGCCTGAAGCCCTAAAGCCAGAAACACGAGAAGAACATGGAACATTTTAACCCCGTTGGAGAGTACCACACTTTGTTTACTCTTGCCATAAATATAAGTTTCATATGACATAAGCTTTCGTGTACTTTATCATAAATTGGGTTGCAGACCATGAAAATTCATGTCAAACCAAACTTGTTGCTTTTTTAGGTTCTACATAGAATCACAGAGTTGGAAAAGACCTCCTGGGCCATCCAGTTCAACCACCGGGCAAGAAGCAGGAAAATCGAATTCGAAGCACAAAATTCTTTGCTGTTAATAATCTGTACATATTTTCACCTACTTTTACAAAGAAAAAAGAAACACTATTCCTAAAGAACAGAATATCTGAATAAATGTTTATATTAACTCACCATCATTGGCCGTGCGGCCAACAAAAGTTTTAATATAACCAGAATGTGGATAATTTTTGATTCATCCTCGTATTACATAAGTCACACTTATGTAAGAATTTTTGAGTGAAAGGTTAGGCCAGTGGTTCCAAACCTTTGGGCCTCCAGGTGTTTTGGATTTCAGCTCCCACAATTCCTAGCAACTGGTAAGATGGCTGGGATATCTGGGAGTTGAAGTCCAAAACACCTGGAGGACCAATGGTTGGGAACCACTGGGTTAGACTGTAAATCAGCCTTCCCCAATATGGATCTGTGTTGGACTCCAACAATCCCCATCATCCACTGGGCAAAATTAAGTTTGCAGACCACACAGCCAGAGGACTCCAAGATGGGGAAATTTTGTTCTTTCTCAACATAGTAACTATTAATAATCTCTTCTGGAAGCTATTCACAGAAAGGTAAAACGTTCAGTATTTTATTGAACTGAAATGGGAGCATAACTCTGAAGTCAGGAAAAACACACATTTAGGTTGTGAGATCATGGACAGGAAGAGTCCCAATAAATATCCTAATAGCAATCTTTCAATAGCTAGCTATGGCTGGTATTCTGGGCCTGATTGTTCTTGACATGTCCACAATGACTAGTAAAACCTGCCACTGATAGATGTTGCTAGATTTCAGCATTTAATCATTACTTGTGTTGGCTACGGCTGATGGGAGTTGAAAACCAGTAACATTCAGAGGAGCACAAGTATGCCGTGTCATTGGATTTACTCTGACTTGGTCTAGGTTTTAATTTGGCATGTTTAATTTATTGTTTAATTTATTGTTTAATGAACTTGTTTAATGAATTTGTAAAATGTGTTTTAATGATTTTTACAGTTTTAACTGTAATCTTTGTTTGTTTATATGCTGATAGCATCACAAGATGCTTGTGTGAGGCCGCCCTGAGTCCCCCTTTGGGGGGAGAAGGGCGGGGCCGGGGTAGGTTTATCAGCTATGGATCTAGGAGCCCTCGGTGGCGCAATGGGTGAAACCCTTGTGCTGGCAGGACTGAAGACCGACAAATTGGAGCTTTGAATCCAGGGAGCGGGGGATGAGCTCCCTTTGTCAGCTCCAGCTTCCCATGTAGGGACATGAGAGAAGCCTCACACAAGGATGGTAAAACATCAAAACATCCAGGTATCCCCTGGGCAATGTCTTTGCAGATGGTCAATTCTCTCACACCAGAAGTGACTTGCAGTTTCTCAAGTTGCTTCTGACACAAAAATAAGCTATGGATCTGCCTAATTGCTTTTCACAGTCATCTCATCTAGTGGCTGTCCTCACCATACCTTATGGAGATGAATTCCACAAATTATCGCCCATTATCCCTGCATGAGGGGTAGTGTGCAGAAAAGAAAGCTATTTTCAAAAGCATGGGGTAAGGCAGTATAGTACAACATTGACAGAAATTAAGTAGATTGAGGCCGCAGACTGTTGACATTCCAACAGCATCAGAATATGGAAATCAACAATACAAATGAAAAGGCAAAATTATATATGTTTTTTCTGGAAAACTGAAAGTTAATGTTTCATGTGTTTATTAATTATTATTATTTAAAAATAGTATCTACCTGGAATCTGTTCCCAGTCTGTGCCTACAGGCATCTCTTCAGTAATCCCAATGCGGACATGGATGTTCCATTTGCTGTCTATCGCCCACAGGCTCTGATCGTTAGAACTTGAGTATACACTGATCAGATTGACTCCAACTGGCTGGAAAAGTCAAAACATGATATTTAATGTTAGAAACGTAAGAGCAGTCATGCTGGACCAGATCAAAAGCTTATCTAGTCCAACATTTCGTTCACATAGCAGTCAACCAGATGCCTATCGGAAGTCTGCCAGGGAGATCTGAATGGAACGATGCTTTCCCTCTGGTGTTATCAAACACCCTTTGATAAAGAAGGCCTGTTATGAATCACTGCCGACAGAAAAGGGAGCGGGGAGTGATAAACAAGACCATTAGAGTGAAGAGAACGCTCTGAATGTCAAGAGGTCTTTGTAAATCTTTTGGGAATCTAACATTCTATCTGTTCAGCACTAAAATGGCAGAGAAACACCTCTTAAGGATTTGGGTTCAACAACATCTCCTCCAATATTTTTATAGATCCTGTACTTTCATTTTAAATCTGTACATGGTATCCTTGAGATATGCACATGCAAATCCGTTTAAAAGAAATATGGTATGAAAAATAAAATGTTCAGAAACGTCAGAAAATGTGTTTCTTCTTTGGAGGTTTTTAAGCAGAGGTTGGATAGCCATGTAGTCTATGTTCTGGTTACATCCCAAATAGATTACTGCAACACACTCTATGTGGGGTTGCCTCTGAAGACTGCTTGGAAACTCCAGCTAGTCCAATGCTCGGCAGCCAAGTTGCTCACAGGAGCAGGGTATAGGGAGCGTACAACTCCCCTGTTACGCCAGCTCCACTAGCTGCCTATTAATTTCTGAGCACAATTCAAAGTGCTACCTGTCCAATTATGAACCATCAAGGACTTTAAAGATCACCCAGGGAGGCCTTGCTCTCGGTCCCACCGCCATTGCAATCACGTTTGGTGGGGACGAGAGACAGGGCCTTCTTGGTGGTGGCCCCTCAGCTGTGGAACTCCCTCCCTAATGAGATCAGTTCTGCCGCCTCCCTCTTGACCTTCCAGAAGAAACTCAAATCCTGGCTGTGGGATCAAGCGTTTGCAGAATAGACTGATTTGCTGGGAAAGATAATGTTTTTCGTGGACTGCAATGGACTCTTTAGGATGATGATTTGAACTGGTGAACTGTTTTTAATGTATATTTATAACTATTTTTAATTTTGCTAATTGTATTGTATGTTATGTTTTATATGGTGCCGGCACTGAATAGTGCCTGTTGGTAGCTGTCCTGAGTCCCTCTTCGGAGGTGAGAAGGATGGGACAGAAATGCTCCAAACAAACAAACAAACAAACAAACAAATAAATGTGTCAGAGGTGCTGTGATTTGTGTACTATTTATTTATTTATATCCCACTTTTCGCCCATGGGTGGGACTCAAAGCAACACACAAATGGTTAAAACAACAGAAATTACATGATACAAAAGCATAACATCATCAACCCAAATAAACCAATAAACAAAAACAGATTACATAAACCATATACAAACAAGCATAATAAATATCAACATTTACTATTTAAAGTCCCTGGACCTGAGGCCACTGACATTGTCCTCGAAATATTATACTAAGCATCCTCGAAGCTCAGCAACTTTGGCCATGTAAACATTGCTACTCCAAGACAGTCTTCAAATGATGTGTCTTAGCAATACCAATAGCTGCCTAGTCATTGTTTATTATGGCTTGTCGGGAAAGACCAGCTTCATAGAACTGTTTTAATTTGAGAGTGAAAGACCAGTAAAGATGGGGTCGAATGCACCACTTGGGAAGGGAGTTCGAGAGCTGTGGGGCCACCACCGAGAAAGGCCTCTTTCTCATTCTCACCCACTATACTTGTGATGATGGTGGGACCAAGAGAAGGGCATCTCCTGATGATCTAGGATTCATGTGGGCTGGTAGGAGGGGATGTGGTCCCGCAAGTAGGCTGAGTCCAAAACGTATTCCTGCATGGCATGGTGTTAGGACTAAATTGGATTTGTTGTCTCTTCCAATTCTATCATTCTATAATTCAACTGATATTAGACTTGCCACACTGGTGGCAGTTAAAGTAGTGGTGAAGTCAGAAGACCCCTCCTCTAGGACCCTTTCACACTACGTAGATATTGCACTATGATCACACTGTAATTGCCATGAGTCTAACCTATGGATTCCTGGAACTCGTAATATCATGATTTTAGAACTTCCAGCTGAAGAGCTCCACAAATCCCATGATTCCACAGGAACCAGGCATGGGAATAAAGTAGAATTGTCATGCAATATCTGTGAAGCATGAAAGGGGTACAAGTGACCCCAGGACAGCCTTTTCTGGGCCAGTTCTTGCCCCCAATATGTATCAAACTAGAACTTGTAAGGATCTTCAGCAAGCATACCAGTAAACTTTACCAGCTGGGAATGATGGAATTCATAGTTCAATATATCTCTGTGGCTCGAGGGTAAGATTAGGAATTACTCATTTAAAATATTCCCTTTTAATGTGTCATGTAATTCACCAACCTGTGCCACAAGTTTAATTGATTAGGTCAACAGATTATACCAAATTATATTTGAATGTTACAGTCTCTGTCCCTCTTTCTATCAAAGCTAGGTTGTAAATAGGCATCCAACCCACCTGAATCGTGCCTTTCCCCAAACCAGTGGGACACTGGGAGGATCATCAGATCACTGTCTAAACTTCACAGGCAATTTCTGATATTCTCTCCCCCCTGACATGTTAAGCATTTTTGGGGCCTCAGGATATGTTGACTGGAGGCTCAACAGGCTTTCCTGCATTAATGCTATGGTCTGGATAGTGGGAGCAAATGAAATAGGCAAGAAATACCTTGCCTGCTGAAAAGCAAATGTTTCAAAATGAAGTTCCTGCTGAACAATAAGAGGCATCATTTTCCATCAGAAAGACAGCTATGGTAAAATCTGCCTGTGCCACTCCCTTGAAAGACAAATTATAGACAGAGAAGTGCGGGTCCTTTTTCTACAACTCTGCAGGAACAAACCGTTCTGTCCTGTTCACTCACTTCTTCTGCACAGATGCGTAATGCCTTATCATACCCAAAGCAGACTTTGTGAGCTGGACTGATAGACAGAGCAGAGCTATCTCTCTGCACATAGTTACTTCACATCACATACTGTCACATCACGAGTCACTCTGTGCTTGATGTGAATTTCAAAGCTCCCAATAAGCAAAACCACCAAGAAGGGATTGTCTCTTCAAAACATAGAGAACAAAACAGAGCTGAACTTGACCCCCAGTGCCATTTCAGGCACTCTTCTCCATCTCTAAGCATCAGAATGACCCACATTGTTTCTACAAACAATTTATTATTTATCTATTCCAAAATGGGGCCGAGAGGCGAGTATTGAGAGGCTTGGGCAGATCCAAACTCTGTCAAAGTTTGCTCCCAAGTAGGGCTCCACAAACTCCTATTCCACCACTCTATCTCGCCTGCAAATCATTTGGGAAAACAAACTGTACTTCTAACTATAGTTCATACATATATATAATTCAAAGTGCTGGTTTTAGCCTATAAAGCCCTAAACGGTTCTGGCCCAGCTTACCTGTCCGAACCTATCTCTCCTTATGAACCATCTAGGACCCTAAGATCTTCTGGGGAGGCCCTGCTCTCGATCCCACCTTCTTTGCAGATTCGGCTGGTGGGAACGGGAGACAGGGCCTTCTCAGCGGTGGCCCCTCGGCTGTGGAACACCCTCCCTAGGGACATCAGATTGGCCCCTACCCTCTTAACATTTCACAAAAAAGTTAAAACCTGGCGTTTTGAGCAAGCTTTCCCAAATGCAGTGTAGCAGACAAATTCTGATCTTCGGAACAACTGGACAATGCGATTGTACAATGATTTTAGTAATGAGACGCTGAGGGTCTATATTTTATCATTTTTATCATGTTATTTAATGTTATCTATATATATAAATCTGTTAGGTTGGTTCAACGGGACAGCAAAACTCCACAACCCCCAACGAAACTTAACCAAAATTCCCATGCCCATAACACAACCCACAAGGTACAAACATATCTACTCAAAATGAAAAACAACACAACAACACACTCACAAAACGGCAAAACAACAAAACTCAAAAACCCCCAACGAAACTTAACCAAAATTCCCATGCCCATAACACAACCCACAAGGTACAAACATATCTACTCAAAATGAAAAACAACACAACAACACACTCACAAAACGGCAAAACAACAAAACTCAAAAAAACCCCAACGAAACTTAACCAAAATTCCCATGCCCATAACACAACCCACAAGGTACAAACATATCTACTCAAAATGAAAAAAAACAACAACACACTCACAAAATGGCAAAACAACAAAACTCAAAAAACCCCAACGAAACTTAACCAAAATTCCCATGCCCATAACACATCCCACAAGGTACAAACATATCTACTCAAAATGAAAAACAACACAACAACACACTCACAAAACGGCAAAACAACTGAGCATGCGCATTGGCGCCCAGCCGCAAGTTCCCTGGCGCGCGCACACAGCCTTCCAGCCAACGTTCCCTCTGCGGAAGCCATGCCCACTCCAAGCCCTGCCGCGCCGCTTCCCGCACACACACACACACACAACCCCACGATCCATCACTCCCCCCGCCGCCGCACACACACGCAACCCCACGCTCCATCACTCCCCCCGCCGCCGCCACACACATACACAACCCCACGCTCCATCACTCCCCTGCCGCAATCTTACCTCCTTTTACTTCACGCCACCTCCAAACCCCACCCCGCCCTTCCCGCCCTGTCAAAATCCAGGAAAGACAGGAAGGAAGGAAAGAAGGAAGAAAGAGAAAGGGGTAAAGAAAAAGGAGGTGAAGAAAAAGGGGGAAGGAAGGAAAGTTAGAGAAAGAAGGAAGAAGAAAAGGAAAGCAAAGGAAAGATGGAAGGAAAGAAAAGAGAGACAGCAGAAGAGAAAGAAAAAGGGGGAAGGAAGGGCGAAGATGTAGAGAAAGAGGGAGGGAAGGAAAGAAGGAAAGAAAGAAGAAAAGACCAGAAGAGAAAGAAAAAGGGGGAAGGAAGTAAAGAGATAGAGAAGGAA